TATATAATAGCAAATGTCTAAATGATACCACTATCTCCTTCCCCTGTATATTAATTCAAAACATGCTGAGCTTAAGTGACAGGCTCGCATGCTTCGAGATCCTATGTGACAAAATTACATGCTTCGTTATTAGTATTCGGTAAATTTTAATTTACTTCAAATCAAAAAATAATTAGGTTCAAATTATACATAAATATGTTGATTATTTATGGTCATGTTACATGTATTAATTGTATTTTAATATAATTTTTTATTATAACAATTGAATCGTAATGTATTTTAAAAGTTAATAAATTTGGTATTTTTTTTATCAGTTTTACATATATAATGTATCAAATTAATCATCTCTTGAAGAGTTTCGATTTAACATCCATATTTTTTTTTTCCAAAACGATAGAAATAACTATTAACGAAAAGCGAGCAAAGCTCGAATACAACACAGTCCAAAAGAAAACAACATGGGAGGAACATCAACAAAGATGCCCTAGAGCCTCAACGAAAACAGCTAAATGAACAAAGAAAAGAAAAGAGCAAATCACCCCACTGCCACAAAGCCTAGAAAATAATCTGCTCTTACTAAAAACTAAAACAAAACACCAAAACGAAGGAGACTAAAAGAACTAAAGAAAAGGAAATTTAGAGAATAGATGAGAACTCCAGCCAATCCGAGTGAGCTGCCTTAACCACAACCCGGGGTGGAGGAAGAGATCCTTGGAAGATCCACTGGTTTCTGGTTTTCCAGAGCCACCATAACAAATAGGTAGACAGCTGGATTCTATGCTCATCAATTGTGGAATGAGATGCAGAGCAAACAAATTGCCACAAAGTTCTGAAAGAATCAGTGTACTGAGAGAGACCCTACCATGAGACTGGTGCTAAGTCCCAAGTTCTGCTGGCTCTGGAGCATTTCAAAAGCAAATGTTCAATAGTTTCAGGACTCTAACCACAACACCTGCAAATTACATCAATGTTCAAACCTTTCTTCTTAAGATTAGTCAGAACAGGCAGAGAGCCTGTGAGGCATTTCCACAAGAAAATTCTGATCTTCATCTGCACCTTCATTGACCAAGATCTTTTGAGTGTCAATTTCCAAGAATTCACCCTGTTGCTACTTTCTGGAAGATCCAGTTGAAGAATTTTCTGTTTCACCAAGAAGGAGTAAGTAGAAGCAACTGAGAACTGGCCCTTAGGATCAAGGCCCCAATAAATTCTGTCAGGTCTGCCAGGCCTCAAACTCTTAATCTTTAAAATAGCAGCACTATCTTCTTCATTAAAAACCTGATGAATTAGCCATTCATTCCAACCCAGACCAGAAGGTAACATCAAATCCTTCACAAAAATGAGATGATCCCTAGCAATTTCCAGCAGCACAGGTTTATCTTTAGAAAGATTGGGGACCCAGTTACAGTCAGCAATTCTGGTAGAACTACCATCTCTAATCTCAGTTTTAAGCCATTTAGAAAACAAAGGAAGGACATCCATCCAGCAGTTCCAGAGCCAAGAGCCAGTATGAGATTTAGAGGCTTGAAAAATAGAAGAGTGAGGAAAGTACCTCTCTTTCAGGACCCTACTAACCAGCAAATCAGGTTGAGATATTATCCTCCATAGCTGCTTACAAATCAGAGCTTCATTAAACAGTTTAAAGTCCAAAAAACCCAAACCTCCATCACTTTTAGGAATTGAAATTTTGGCCCAACTTATCCAGTGAATGCCTTTTGCTTCTTCTGAATTTGATTTCCACCAAAATTGAGCACATAAGCTGGCTAAAGAGGAGCAAATGGAGGCTGGTATTTTAAAGCAACACATAGTAAAGATAGGAATTGTTTGCAGAACAGATTTCAAAAGAACAGCCTTTCCAGCTGCAGAGAGTAATTTAGCCTTCCAGTTCTGCAACTTGTTTTTTAAGGATTCCACAAGATAATCAAAAATCTCTTTTTTGGACTTACCAATTCCCAGGGGTAGTCCCAGATACCTGGTGGATTTATGAGATTGAATGCCTTGCAGAGCTGCACAGATACTTCTTTGAAGAAATTCAGGAGTATTTCTGCTGAAAAAGATTGCAGATTTAACCAGATTCACAGTTTGGCCAGTGAACATTCTATATTTGTTCAACAGATCAAGAAGAACCCCAGCCTGGTCAACCCCAGCTTTACAGAAAAAGATTGAGTCATCTGCAAACAACAGATGAGATATAGATGGCCCAGACTGAGATAATTTCAACCCCTTCAGAGAACCAGTGTTAGTAGCATCAATTATAAGGGCTGACAGCAACTCAGAGACTATGATGAACAGATAAGGGGAGAGAGGATCCCCCTGTCTTATTCCTCTGGAAGGAGAAACCAGTCCACAGATATCCCCATTAACTTTAAAAGAAATTGAGGTGGTAGATATGCAAGCCATGATAAGTTTAACAAAATCAACATGAAACCCCATTTGAATCATGATGTTCTTAATACTGGCCCACTCCAGTCTGTCAAAAGCTTTCATGATGTCAAGTTTCAAAGCCATAAAGAAATTTTTACCAGAAGCATGCCTGTTAAGAAAGTGAAAGGCTTCCTGGGCTATGATGACATTATCCAGCAGTTGTCTGCCCTGGATAAATGCAGATTGAAATCCACTAATGCACCCATCAAGACAAGTCTTAAGCCTCTGAGCAAGAACTTTAGAGATAACTTTATAAACCACAGTGCAAAGGCTAATAGGTCTAAACTTACAGATGGTATCAGGAGCAGCACATTTAGGGATTAAAGAGAGAATAGTATGGTTCCAATATTGAAGCATCTGGCCAGTGTGGAAGAAACTCAAGATGGCAGAGATAAAGTCAGATTTGATTAAGATCCAAAAGTGTTGATAGAAAAGAGCATTCATACCATCTTCCCCAGGTGCTTTATTAGGATGAAGACTGAAAAGAGCTGATTTGATTTCTTCCTCCTCCACAGGGATCAGAAGCCTTTGGTTCATTTCAGTTCAGTAGAGATAGAGGGGTTGATAAGATGCAATAAAGTGTCCCCTCCCCAAGAACCCTCAGTTGAGAATAGAGATCTGTATGTATAAAAAAATAAATAAATTATATTTATTTTTATAACAATAATAAAATTATTTTTTAATATTAATTAAATAAATAAAATTATTTATCAACTAATATATTTATATTCCAAGTAGTTATATAATATAAGTTATACAAATTACAATAATATAACACATGTATGTCGCACAAATAACAAATGTCATTCTAAAATATATAATAATATATATTTTTTGTAAAAAATTAAATTAAGGATTAAAATATTTTTCTCATTATTTTTAAAAATATAAGAATATTTTTTTAAAAAAAAGAAACCGTGTAATAAACGAGTGTTGTACTAGTATCATATTAAAAGTAACATTATAATACATAATTAAAATTATTTTTAATTAAAAATTTGAGTTTCCGTCCAATTTTAGAAATATTGTGCGCCTTGAGTCCGTCATTAATAAATCACACGACAAACTCGTGTGTGATATAAATGATACCCATATAAGTAAAGTAATTAATAATTATGTTAACAAGCAGCTAGCTTTTTGAATTGTGAATGGAAATCTTGTGAAACATCCTCTCCTCTCTGTCCATGTGCATGCTTTTAAACCCATTGTCTACACACACACACACACACCGTTGTAACCATTAAATCCCTTCACCAGACTCCCAATACTTACTTTGTTAAATATATCATCATTCTTGCTTGAATGACTCCTAAAGAAAAATATATAAAAAAATAAAAACTATGTCATTGTTTCTTCTCAAGAATTCGTTTGGGTCGAAGATGAAGAAAGGTTTCGGCCATTTCTGCAATGGTGAGAGCTCCACCTCGATTCTGAAGCAGCAAAAAGTGCAAGCCTGCGCTGACGTGTCACGGCAAAAACGCTACTCCTCCTCGAGAGAAAGCCACCGGCCGAGTTTAGAGGAAATGATAATGCAGTTAGAGATGGAAGAAGAGAAGAATAGTAGTAATGGTCGAGGAATAGTTTTTCAACCACATAGAATGTCGTGCGTTGACAGTTGTGACATTCTTAGAACGGCTAGAAACGCGCTGAACCAATATCCGCGGTTCTCCCTCGATGGAAAAGACTCCATGTATCGATCCTCCTTCGTAATTAATAAGTTGAGGAAGCACCAAAAAGTCGGGTTGCCTTGTGAGATAGGTGGGGAGCGGGTGATTTGGTGCAAGCCGGGAGTGGTGGCCAAATTGATGGGCCTTGATGCAGTGCCTATTCCTTTGAACAACATTACTTATAGAACCATCATAAAGAAGAGGATCGACAAAGAGAGGACGAAATTGCTTATGGCGGCCGATCACAAGAGGCGAGAGATGGCAACTAGATACTCCCTCGTGAATCCTACAGACTTGCAAATTCTGAATGCCGAGGCAGGCTGGCCGATGAGACGTTTTCATTAGAGTATTTGTTGTTCTTGTTGTTGTCGTCGTCGTTTATTTTTATTTTTATTTTGTTCTACTTCTACTGTTTTTAGAAATTTTGAATAATCAAATTAAATGATTCATGTAGGTGCTAGTATTTGTGATTCATAAAAGATTAATCACCGCTCAATTATCATGTGGGGTAGAATTAGTGTAAGGAAAATAGGTTCTAACCATTATAATAATTCTAGTTTTTTTTGGAACGGACGTGAATGTTTGTATTTACTTCTGTAGTAGATAAGCTTTCAACTTTGTTAATACGTGTTTTTTTAATTTTCTTTTGTGATTTCTTATATATATAGAGAAGTAGAATCATAAAAAAATGAAGCATAATGAAAAAACAATTCTGTATCATTTGCTCTATCGTCAAGTCAACGATTATGATCAAATGAAACGTTAGTAGAGTGCAGTCAAACGTGCGGTTACAATCTCGTAAACAAATATACATATCATGATCAAATGTATACATTTGTCTACTCAATAAAGATAATCTGGTCATTTCACACAATTCTCACTCACTCATACACTTTAATGGATCCATCCTAACCCATCCACCCCACCATCTATCTCTCACACACAAAACACACTTTTCATGCACATATACAGACACAGACACATCAGTCCCGTCGATCCCCCCATTACATCTATCACACACACACACACTCACACACACACACACACATACAGAGAGAGAGACACAGAGAGAGAGAGATCTAGCGGTAATCACAATCTTAATGGCCAATTGTCCGAACACATCTGGCGGGTGGCGGGACCGACAAAACACCTATACTCAACGTCATTGGCAGTATTGAGCTTGATAAGAGATTCCACTACATCCAACGGCCGGCGTCGCCTCTGATCTTCTCCCAGAATGACAACGGTCGCGACCTCCTAGGAGAATGATGTAGTGATGTTGAAGGAGAGTGTCGACGAAGGGGGAGTTGGGTTATTTTAAAAAAAATTATAAGCATTGAGGAATTATTTGTAATTTTTTTTTTATTTTTTTATATTGCACTTTAGGTCCTAGTTAAATTTGCTCAATAATGTAATGGTAATTAGGGTGGAATCCTTTTTTTAATAATAATAGCAAGTTTTTAAGAGCTCGGCGATGGTGATTAGGGCGGACGCCTGTAATAATCGCAAGTTTTTAAAGAGCTCGACGATTGTGATTGGGGCGGAAGCCTGCAAGCTTCTAAGAGCTTGGC